GTACCCAGGTAACTATTAAACAACGAGTTTATGTACTTTCCTTGTCTTTATGTACTTTTATGTTTGTAAATAAAACACAATATTACAATATTAAAATGATTAATTACGAAAATTACGTACCTTTAATATTTTCATCATATATGGAGATTGTGAGTTGTATATTTTTTTTACCTATGATAGGTGCTCAGGATTGACATATTTAAAATAGGTATGTGGAATATCATTAGATTTGAAATGATCATGAGTTTTGACGTGATTTATGTAGTTTTAAGGTGTGATACGTAAGACCGCGAGCGCCGCCAGGGGGAGTAGCCGGCCAAGAGCAAGCCCCGCGCGGCGGGTAGGCGGACAGATGGAGCGGGTCGGTTATACATACAAGTTGTGATCTCGCCGATGTGCGATGTAAGATAAGAAGCAATTAAGCCTCCATGAATATACGAGCCAGCATCGCAACCCCCGCATACATTACCACTTTTCCGATGCCAGTTAATAAATAAAATCTCATATTTGCGCTCGCTGCCCAATGATATATAACGTTTGTTAATTAGGTTATCTCCCCGTCGGCATCTACAAAGAGCTAAGGTTTAAAAGGCTCGTTGATATTAAAAATGCCGCTTATAACTTTTATCATAAATCACCCCGTGGCGAAATCGCGAGGGCGCGCGAAAAAATTTTCGATCTACTTGGAACAAAAAATATGCAAGTAATGACGAAAGCAGTCTGAGAGCTTTTTTGAGTAGCTGCGGACTTGCTTAGAATTAATTGTGGAGGCGCTCGACGGCCGCCTAGCCGCCTGCTACTAAAATATTTGCCGCGTAGTGCCGCGATCCGGGAACGATCATTATTCAGAAATATTCACTTACCTCCATACCTACAATACGTACATAAATGTAAGTTAAATAGTGTTAACCTATTTTAATTTAAAATAACGTTACAATATTTATGTAACAATTAATATTACAAGGATAATCTTGAGGTAAAATTGACGGATTACATGTTTCTAACCTACCTTCTTAATCCGTGAAATACGTCATTACAATTGATTAGAGACGTTTAATGAAGTATTTCATATAGTACCTACTTATTACTAAAATACTCAATTAGATATTAAAAATACTTAAGAATAGAACAAAACAGAGACGGCTGTAGTTGTAAAAGAAACGACGACCAGTTTTAATGAGTCCCTCGAGTTCTCATCGAAAACAGAGCGTGGGCTCGTGATTACCATGGGCCCCCTGTAATAATAAAATATCGACAGGCCGCCTTTATCGACTGCCTTCTCGATAAGCATCCGTGACGAATTCGCACCATTCCAAACCCTCGGACCTACACACACACAAGTAAACGCATTATTAAAACGACTAAAAACACATCGTCAACAACCAAAAACGTCTCTTAAGATTATAGTGAAAAGATTTATTTTTGAATTCAGAGTATCATGTCACAGTCACTCACTTTAAAGGGAAAACGACGGAGATATTCGTATCGATACTTTAATTACTATTATAATATTACCTTAAAGAGTTATCGATTTTTCGAGGAAACTGCGGTTAAGTAATTATTGAATTTAAGTTAAACTTTTCCTAGAATTAAATGAAATTGCAAAAATGAAATTGGAATTGCATTGAAATTACTAATAGTATTTTATATTTGTAATTGTAATTGCGTTTGACAACGATCTAGCCTGGTGGTAAGCGATGATGCGACCTACGATAGAGCACCATCCATAAGCAACCTGTTTACTCAGGAAACACACAAAGAATAGCGGTTCTGAAGATAAAACTTGAGACGAATCGCTTCATGCCTATTCATGTAGATTCCTTTTAATAACGCTCCTATTAGGTACTAGCTATTCTCGCGTGGTTTCACCCGCTCATCAGCTCCATTTGATCGTAACGTGATGTTTTATAGCCTATAGCACTAAGGAAAATTGTTGGTATCTATCAGTGAAAGAACTCTGGGAATCCGACCAGCGGTTCCATAGATTACCCCCTACATACAAACTTACAAATTTTACCTCTTTATAATATTAGTATACAAGCAAGATGGTGATATATAAATTTTGAAAATAAAACAAAGACCAAACGTGCTCCCGAAAGAAAATCACCCAATGAAATGATACGACATGATACTAAGTTAAACTAATAGGTAGTAAAATAATCTAACAATAAAATTCACAGACGAATGTCGTCTGCCATGTTTTTATCACAGATCGTTCACCTCACAACCATTCACGGATTTAGGAAACGGTAACAATATAAAAAGATAATAATAAAAAAAAACTATTTCGTGCGCAATGCGTCCATTAACGTTTTTGCTTTCTAAAAGTCAATACTATGACCAATCGTTGGATTACTGGCTTTCTGTTATATTAGCATTATAAGTGACACCGACCACGCAATCATTTAGAATATCTATTTGCCTAATTACATATTCAATCAGTGTTTTATGATGGCTTATAGAGCTCATAAGTCTGATTATGCTAATTAAATATATACCACCGTCAATAATCCTGAGAAAGGCAAATTGTTTTTAAATCTATTTAATAATGTAACATCAATATAATTTAAACTACAAAAGAGTGTTTCTATTGTACCGTTATTGTGTGTATACTTAGAAATATATGATTATCTTAATTTTAATTATACTAAATAAATATCATTTAGATGATGTAAGTTTGTATTTAGCTAACGCTTAAATTGCTTAGTTGTATATGATGAATTTCTGTGCTAGGATAGATGAAAATTAAGACAATGTCGCTTGAAAAATAGCATATTTAACATAACAAAGGCGACAATTCATATGAAGTGCCCTATGAACTATACGAGGCACGCTATTGGTCGAATCCGGGTTAATTGTAATGGAAGGGAATGTCCTGATGACAATGATGATGAACCAATTTTAAAGTCTTGATTTAAAGTTAGCCGGAACCCCACTTCTGATGTCTTTTTTATTTCTAGGGCGAAAATTAATAGTTATCCCGCTCTGTATGGGGCGAGAGAGAATTGCTAGACTCTTACTCACTAAAAACCATCTTTTCCCTTCTCTTGCTCCGAGTCACGACCGAGTCATTATATACGTATATCATTGCGCTTGCACTCTTAACTTCAGCCAAACTTATTAGGAACAAAGTTAGTATGTAGAATCCAGGGTCAGTCGCAATAGCTCGCCGCCCGACCAGAACCAGACCCGAGCGGACGGAGCGTAGCGTTCCGCGCGCGCCTCAAAGAGCCAATAAGACCACCAGTGACGGGGCCCAATAGGGCTGATGTTCAGCCGGGGTTGCGGAGTAAGCGCAATGAGGCGCGACCTCGGCCCAGAGCAGGAGAAGAAACGGGGGGGGGGGGGGGGGTATTTAGTCAGTAAGAGTCTGACAGTCTCTCTCGCCTCACCCTGGGCGAGTAAAGTATGTTAGTCAGTAAGAGTCTGACAGTCACTCTCGCCTCACCCTGGGCGAGTAAAGTATGTATGTAGATTGTTACTTAGGCATCTATTGCATTATATTGGTACAATAGAACATTGTCTTGTCTGTCTCTCATAAAGTTAGGAAGACACAATGAAAGCAATATCTTCCGTGGTGGCATACCACTTCTTCCTTGTTTGCCAATCTGTTCATGTCTGCCTGTCTGTTTCTCTGTCTGTACTTCAATTTTTATTTCGTATTTATTATTTTATTTCATCCATCAATGAGCTATGTAAAAAAGGAATAGGTACATCAACGCAAAACACCTGACAATTAAGTAGTAAAATGTTAATTCTATTTTCTTTAAAATCGATCTATTCTATTAATTTGTACGGAATTATGTTTTTTTTCATGAAATGGTCTACTTTCTTATAATTTATTTTTTGAAAATGTTCTAGAAAATCATGAATACGAGCATTAATTTTACCATAAAAACGACGAAGTAAAATGTGATTATTTTTACGTTCATACTTATTTTAAAATAAAATTATTAAGATCATCAAAGAATCTTTGTATATTTTTTTAAATATCTCATAGTAAATAATCGTTAAAATAAGTAGGTGGTGTTTGAATGTAAATAACACTACTTAGTGTATTTTCTTAATAAAGCACCCATGTAAGTATCAAGATTTTTATTTTTTTGCTCAACCTATACCTACTTACCTAAATATTTTTGTTAGATTAAATTTTTGTACTTAAATATTAGTCGTTAAAATCAGTCTTCTTACTACTAAGAAGTAAGAATACTTAAGTAGGTAGGCACTATAGAATTATTAATTCATAAAGAAATAAACCCAATAGCAGTAACAAAAACCTAGTTAAATACGCAGTAATAAAAACAACACGACCTTGGACGAAGAAATTTAGCATTTGTTGTTAGGCGAGTAGTACACTATAATCGTAAATTTAGCTTGTTAGTGCTGTTAAGCTGTTTGGTTTTATGAACAGGTCATAAAGTAGCCTGTGTAGCTCTGTTACCTAATTATTCAGCGCAGTAGATAAGCCCAAAAGCTTAACCATTACCAACTGGCTCACCGATTTACCAAAACTCTAATTTCTAGGTCACCGATTTCGTTCATAATGTGGACCTCACTATAAGTACCGAAATATACAGTCCTATAACTACCTACGAGTTTGTAAAATATCTGTCTAACTTACTAAATACCTACTATCTAGATAATCTCGCTTACAAATTACAACGCAAAGGACTTTAATAACACTAATTCATTATTATTAAATCTGTATATAATTCAAATCTGTTTTTCTGTATCATCGTAATTTACATACGCTAAATAAAAAGCGGTGTCATCACAAAAGATTTTGGAGGCAATATAAACATAATATCAATTTAAATTCCTTGTTAGTGGAGCGAAAGCCGACATCATACCTGAAAGTGGAGGGACTCGATTGGATGACGTGCGCACCAATCGCGTGCGAGTGCCTCGGCCGCTACATCCGGCCGGCAGCGGGCGGGCGGGCCGGGCCGAGCGCTCGCCGCGCCTCACTTACTCAGTTCCTCTCCACACCTCGCATCGGACTGACGTGTTCCTACATCCGTGTGTTGTTGTTACTCTTGACTTTATTATTATTGACTTGTTCTACCGGGACTTAGTGGGCCGTGACAATGCCGCGACCCTCGCGTGAATCGTACGGCGACCAGAAGCCCCCGTACTCGTACATCTCCCTGACGGCGATGGCGATCTGGAGCTCCCCGGAGCGCATGCTGCCGCTGTCGGAGATCTACCGGTTCATCACGGACCGCTTCCCGTACTACCGGCGCAACACGCAGCGCTGGCAGAACTCGCTGCGGCACAACCTCTCCTTCAACGACTGCTTCGTGAAGGTGCCGCGCCGCCCGGACCGGCCCGGCAAGGGCGCCTACTGGACGCTGCACCCGCAGGCCTTCGACATGTTCGAGAACGGCTCGCTGCTCAGGAGGCGCAAGAGGTTCAAGCTGCACAAAGGGGATAAAGATAATCTGAATGCAGAGTTAGCGGCGCTGGCAAGTTTCAACAGAGCATTTTTGGCCAGACAAGCGAGTGCACCACCTCCGCCACCAGCCATGCCGAGTGCTAGTCTCTACACACCACCGCTGTGTCCACAGCTAAGCCCAGAGCCAGCAGAACTACCTGAAGCTGCAACCATCACAATGTTACCGCGTGAAAGACCACGAAGAGATTTCACAATTAAGGCGCTGCTTGAGCCAGACTCGCCGCGGTTGTCGCCGTCGCCACCTCACCCAGTGCTGATGCCCATCCCCCGGCTGGAGGCTGCGTCGTACGTGGCGGCTGCGCAGCGCTACCACGCCGAGCTGCTGGCGGCGGCGCACGCGCTGCGCCCCTGCTACCTGCCGCCGCCGCCGCCGCTGCCCGTCGCGTGACATCAGCCTGTGCGCACGCATTCGAGCTGCTCCAATATTTCGTGCAATGTTAGATTGTAAGTACACTTCTAACTAGTTATTTGTAAAGTGTTTAGATTTTTATTTGGAACAATCGTTTTGTAGTTTTAAAATGTTAATTTATCTCAAAATACTTGTGAATAAAAACGCGCTGAGTTGTAGAAAGATGGTCATTTTGAGTTTAAGTTGGAGTGTCGATTTTAACTGATTTAGCATTTACTACTTGAATGATAATCATGACCATTTGCGACGCATTTAGTATTATAAATATTTATTATGTTAAAGCGTTAAACGTTGAGGCTAGCGAGCAAACGAGCAATGGCCTAATGTTAGACATTCCGCAGACGGTTCAAGCAAAATACTCGGGTCATTATAGAAGTTTAAGTGATCTCACTTTAAGGTTAGTTACACTGCTGATTAGTTATTGTAATTGTTAAAAGTATTATATTGTGGCAGATGAAAAACTAGAAAAACATTAGTGAATAGTTCAGGAACACATTACCTTCTGAGTATGTCTTTGATGTAGAAATGTTGAAACTGTTTGAGACAGTGCAAACTATGTGTAATATTATAATTTCATATAGATTCAGTGTTTGTTTAGAGAAAGAATAAACTATAGCTACTTATTACTAGCAGTGAACTTTGTATATTGCTGTATAGATAGATAGCCTAGAATAAGATTGTTATTTATTTAGTGATGAGAACTGAATATTTTTCCTGTTCAATTTAGATTGATTAGTGTAGATTAATTATTTGTGTAAATATTGTTTAAATTGTTAAAAATTTTGAGTAGGAATATTAAATGGAATACATTATACTAATTGGTTTTATTTAACTCTTTTTGTATACAAACTTTTTGCCATTTGGCTCAGTAAATGCATTATAATAATCAAAAGGAAGGTGATTTCTTTGTTAATTGTAAAAGATGCCGGTCTAGGTCTGATGAAGACGAAAGAAAAGTATATAAAACTGGGGGTGAATGTTCTTCGTGTGCGGTAAAAGAAAAAGTGTGGTAGAAAATTGGTAAAAAGCAGTATTCGTGGTGGTCTGTTTCACGGGGTAACGCGGCGCGACGGATCACGCTTGTGGTCTAATAGGCCCCGATATTGAGTGCAAACTGCTGACTCACCCGTCGGCTTGTTACACACTATAATGCGCATTATAGGCTTGTTCAACATTTTGACCCTTTTTCACAGTGAAAAACCTTTAATCTAATGATGTAAGACACAATAGAGCGGTTCCATTCTTCTCTGCCTTTTTGTGGGATCAATTTATGTAATTAGATTTGGATAAAATGGGATAATAAAACGTGAATCTTGTTTCCAATGCTTCATTGGGTACAGAATATTCATGTTACTTTTTAATGTACATAATATCTTTACATACTTTCACAGTATATAATATTGTTTTGTATAATACGCTGAAGTTTATCACCCGATCAAAGAAATCAACAATAGATAGAATCTATTTTTGCGTACTATATAGTACTTAATTAATAATTTTGGAATCGTTCATTGCGTCATATAGGAATTATTTCAGATTTATCGGAACTGGTGAAAAGTATGTAGTATCTGCTTAATTTCTTAACACTTATTTGGGTTAATATTTGTATTTTTATTTTCTTTATTAATTAGTTAATATAGGTACTTGGTACTCGTTACAGGGTAACAATTAAGCTCTGGATTTTATAATTCATTGGTAGGTATCACAATAGAAATTTAAAATTTTAGGAATTTTGTCAAGAGATAAGAAGATTATTTTGTGGCATTCTCTAACAGCCAATCTTTTGTGCAGTGCCAGTGCACAAAGCAAGCTTTGTCTGACGAATAGACTTACATAAATATGGACTATACTGTAAATAAATAAATATGTAAATATATATAAAGGTCGATTAATCACTTGGAACTCAACTTCATAAAGTATGAAGTAATTCAATTGTTCCTTCAACTTGAACATTGTGAAAAAAATAAAAATAAATTTATATAGAATTTGAGTTTAGCAACTTTATTCATACAACGTTTTCTTGACACCGGTTATCTGTTAGTCTGTGGTGATTTCCAGCACTCATACAAAGTAACTTAAAACTTAGGTACTAGCGCAACTACATGCTAATAATACATTTCTCCACTCTATTAAATGGGTGCTGTATACATATATCTAAACCTTCAGATTTAATCACACTATCTCTTAAAAAAACAGCATCAAAATCTGTTGCGTAATTTAAAAGATTTGAGCATAGGTACATAGGGATATACGGACATAGAAAATGACTTTGTTTTATACTATTTAGAAATGAGAGAGTAAATTGGGTTAGTATCCACCCCAGTTCTTCCCGTGAAATACTTCTTAATAGATAACAGACCTTAACCACAGTAAAAATATCATACAGTATTGTAACTCGGCCGCTTGAAAGAAATAAATACCTCTAGCCGCGCGGTACGTAAACATGTGTTAGGGCTGCTCGTCTCCAGTATTTTAATTACCTTTGTCTACTTTCTGTTTCCATTTAGTTTTGTGATTGCAAATATCCTTTTTTTATATAAACAAATAAAGTGCTTTAAAAATAAACAAACAAAATTTCTTTGGCCACCAATGCCGAACTGAACAGCTGACTACGAATGTTCTAAAAACACAACCCTCAAACATCAAAATATTACATGAGTCTAGCTGTTATTAAAACCGAGAAAAAAAAACAGTTTTTGTTGGTATTATGTTGTTAAAGCAGCAGCAAAAACTTTTTATGAAGATTTCGAAAACTATCTAATGACACAGAGACTGTCAAATTTATTTTTTCTAATATTATTCATAAACACAGATAATAAACAAATATTATTAATAATAAAATACCACACTCTCTACTTTGAATTATACAAACTAACAAAACATACATGAACCGTTTTAACACAAGCGTAAGTAGGTAGGTACCTAACGTATCATGATTCATTCAGAACCAGAACCGCCTATAACTACCTATTTCACTCGTCTCAATAACTTTATTCATATTATTTATAAATTCAAACACCTGTTTTCGTGAGTTAAAAGGAAATAATGATTCATTATAAAGACACACATTATGTACCTACCTAGGCTACTAGTAAAATTATTTTATAGTCTTACCTTTCAGAGTTTCCAGGTAATTTAAAAAAACTTATGTCTGGATGCGTTACTGACGAATTCATGCAACCAAAAACAGCACAATACTTCCTATTCGTCATATTAAATAATGTACTCGAGCTGATTTCTAAATAAAAGACAACACGCCGTCCGTTCGTCTCTGCGGTACAGCTGCGTCTGTCTGCGTCCCGAGCGCGCCCCGACATCGGGCGCGTAGGTATAGTTCGCGTTTCGGCCGTTTCTATGAAGTTGGAATACTTGTAGATATTATTACCTTGCCTTAACCTTTTAACCTGCAATCACCAGCCCGCTTACCATGTAAGGAGATTATAATAATAATAATATCAGCCGACACCTCCTATGTACCTAAATGTACTTCCACGGACTTTTGACATTGTATGTGTGTAAGGTTCAGTGAGTAAATAAGTTCTTGGCCATGCTAAGATAGAATTTTGTTGTATGCTGCGACCGATGCCTTTTTTCGACTACGTACTGACAGAGTAAATAGTTTATTTAAAAATTGTGTATCTACTATTAAATGTTAAAATAAAGTTTTTTTGTTTAATGATGTCAGATCGTTTTCCAATAGGTAACTACTCGGTGTGGGGTAAGATTTTTGGGTGTAAGTGAAAATGTTTTGAAATGAATCAAGGATTTATGTTGATGACTGTACATGTTTGTGCCAGTAAATTCTTAGAACTATTTGAAGTATATAATAATATAGATATTTTAAATTATTTTTGTGGAATTTAATACGGACAGTTTACGTCGTATATATACATCAAAATGTAATAAAGTATGTTTAAAGATTTAGAGAATAAATGAGTAGAAGAAAATGAAGTATTAGATTAGTACCTGACAATAAGCTGACATTTTTCTCGCTCAATACATATTCGCTTTATTGCTTATTATGTTAGCCATAAATTTCACTGGCTATGGATGCAAAGTATATATGAAACTACCAATACATTACACAGTAAAAATCCCAGTGTGAGCCAACGTTATTTATTTCATATTTTTTGCGGCTTATTTACCTTTTCGATTGTTACAGAAAATATAGCTGGCAACGTAATAGGTACCTACGTATGATAAAGTAATTTAAATATAAACTAAACAATTAATTTATTAATAATAATGTGGTTACATTTAAATGTTTGGATTTATAAAATAAAAACCCTTTATGAAATTCTTTATTCAAATAGGAATCAAACGGAGCCCTTAACTAGGAAGCGTTCAATAACTTCAAGAGATCAACGTGGAAATAGGTATGTATTTTAGAATAGGCCGTCTTAACCAGAATGGTCATGGCATCACTGAATAGGTACTTCTACAGGATAGATATAAAAATAGGAAAGATATAAAAATCGTAATCAATAAGTTTCAGCAAATAAAAACGCATGCAGTTATAAATACTTTTGTCATTAATTTACCTCCTTAGATGAATGAACTCTGACTTGAATCTAGAGCGTCAGTTATAAATTGATCTAACGTGTTTTACAATGTTTAAGTTTTAGTACAATTACATTTTAATTTGATATCTACGGTACGTTGAAAGTCTTATATATTTTTTATTATTTGTGAAATGGTCTCCTGCAACTGCTTCTCCAGCATAATACATATTTTTGTGCTCATAACGATATAACAAACCTATAAACTGTTGGAGATCCCAATAAAATAAATAAATTAAGTAACTTATCAGCCACGAGGACGTCCTCTGCTGATTGTTAACTTCCGTCAATGTATAGCGATGCACATATAAGATAGACTCTAAAACAACTGACAGATGACGTCACAAATCACAGAAAGAAAATCCCAACAACCAATTACTGGGCAGAAGCCTCCTTTCCTCTTCCGATCTTAGAGAACTTTACACTCTGTCCCCTAAAAATATCTTTCTGATCTGCTGCTTGGAAACAACCTGAATCTAATGGCATCTAGACGCTGCATCGTTTTTTATTACCTAAAGCCCCCGAGAGTTGCAAGGACCATAGAATGTAGAGGAGGATAAAGAAACAGGCAATGGAATCAAGGAAATAATTCGGTTCACACTTAATATCAGCAATCAAGCACGATAATGATAAATGCTAAAATAATTGCATCATAAAATTATTAATTAAATTATTATGCAAAGATAGGAGGTTAATTAAAATATCCTTATGAGGACAAATGTGGCTACGTTTCCAAGTAAAGCGTTACTAACTGTGATATGGCGTCGGAATTAGGGAAGTATTATTATTATGTGACTTTGAGCTAATGAACTTATTAACTAATTGTATGGCCATTTACATCATCGCGCTTTTTTGAATTCGATGGAGTAGGCTGAGGTCGATTGATTGAAACACCTGTTTGTCACTAGTTATTTTAAATGAGAGCAGTCT